ACCCTTGAATGGAGGGCTAAATGTTTGGGTTCAATTTGGGAAGAACAGGGGGCAGAGAAAAATTAACCTGATAACGTGCACAGGATGAATGAGAGAGAGGAAAGTATGAAGGCAAAGAGGCTAATTAAGAAGTGATTGTAAGATTCAAAAGCAAGGCTAGAAGACCTGGCTGATCAGTGACCAGTCTTAGAAGCAAAGAAACAGAAAATGTTCCATTAACTAAAAGCATCATGATCTCAGGCAGGCTACCAGAAAATTGGAGGGGAAAGGTAAAGGCGCTACAGAGAAATACTGACAAGAAAGAGTAAGAAGACTAACCTTAAAAGATAATGAAATTTACTATGAAGGTTTAAGAACTAAAACAGTTTGGCACTGGAGAATAGAATGTCCAGAAGTAGATCAGCAAACACATGGGAATTCAGTATGAGAAAGGAAGCAACTCAAGCAAGGCATATAATGAATATTCAATACACAGCAGTGGGAAGACATGGCTAACTGGGGGTAAAAGCTGGGCCCCCTTTACTCTTTTCACCAAAGTAAACTCCAGAAGCATCAAAGAATTAAAAGTTAAAAAATGGAACCATGAAAGTCCTAGGAAAAAGGTATCAATATTTATAATTTTTGAGTGGGAAGGCCTTTCCAAGTAGGACCAAACTTCAGAAGCCATAAAGGAAAAACTTAACAAAATCTGACTATATGCAATTATATGATTCTGAATGAAAAAAAACATCATGACCATGAACAATGACAAAAGAAAAGCAACAACTTGGGGGAAATAATACATTTGACATACAAAGATATTATTTCCTCACTGTATAAAGAGCTCATAGAAAGAAGAATGACCTAATAGAAAAATGGGCATTTTATAGGGAAAAAATACAAATGCTATATAAATTGCATATGAAATGATGCTTTACCTAATGTAATAAATATATCATTTCTGACCTATCAGACTAGTCAAAGTTAAAACTTTAATGGTGATTGTAGGGATATGGGAAAAAAACACACACACACTGTTGGTGCAAGTATAAATTGGTGCATTCTTTCTGAATTTGCTAATAGTGATCAAAATCTTAAATTCACATATCCCATTGCTAGACATGTATCTTTCAGAGACTCCCAAGAGTTCACACCAAGATAGCACTGACAAAGATGCTCACTGTAGCGCTGATTACAACAGCAAAATGCCAGAAACAATGAATGTCCTTGAGCAGGGAACTATTTAGATAAATGATGCACATTCATAAGGTGGGATATTATGCAGTTTTGGGACAAGGGAGGGAGCTGGGAGGAGTGGAGGGGGAGGCTCCCTTTCCACTTCATATCTATGGGTACTTGGTGTCCATCTGCAACTTTAATTTTTTTTTAATGCTCTCTAGGTGGTAGATTTATGGGTTATCTTAGTTAATAGATTTTTTAGGTTAATTTAAACAATCCAGTCTATAGGACTTAATTTTGTTAGCTAAAAAGATATAGAGCTCTAAATTTAGCAATAGCTATCAAAATAAAAGATATATGGACCCTCTGCTCCAGCAATTCCACTGCTAAGGGTTTACCGCATAATAAACTTACTCAAATACAAGGATGCTTACCCCAGCACTGCTGGTAATAGCAAAAATTAGAAAAATACCCAAAAGCCCGTTAACAGAAAACTAGTTACATAAATTATGGTGCATCCACAAGATCCAATTCTCTGCAGCTGCCTTACTGAGATAGATCTTTATGTGCAGTATAGAAAGGTGCCCCAAATAGACTAATCAGTGAAAAATGCAAAGTACAGCATGATCTCAATTTGTATAAATTTTTGAAAAGACATGCATTTATCATTTCTGGAAGGAAACTGAAGAAAGTATTAACAGCAGTTACCATTGGTGAGGGGACTTGGGGAAAAGAACGCTTTTTATCATTTTATACTTTTCTGTACATCTGAATTTGCAGTGGCTACTTTTATTAAATAATTTTTTAAAAATCTTAATGAGGCAACACTCTGAATTCTTTATGAAAACAAGAAACGCTAAATTCACTACTTCAGGTTTTATTTCCTTATTCATCCCTGAATGGGCAGGGAGTAAATAAATAACACAAGGACCACGGAGGGGAAGTTACAAGAGAGGAAGAGATCTAGGGCATGGGAGAACCACTCTGGGCAACTGAACATGGTCCCAGCCCATCATCTCCTTTTGCCAGGCCTGTCAGGACGGTGTCCTAATGGGCTCCCCAGCCTGTAAGTTTAACTAGCTCCCCATCCCTCAGAAGACAAAGTCCTGCTCCCCAAGGGGATGCGCGACCCTCTGTATCCAGGCTCTTCCCTCCTCCCCAGCTCTCCCTTCCTGTCTCCCCCTTCATACCTTGTTGGATTTATGCTCAGCACCACCAAGCTGAGAGTTGACCCTCATGAGCTGACACCATTTCTTGGCTCCACGTCCTTACCTATGTTCTTCCTACACCACCCTTCCTCCTGTCTCTTTCCTAATTAAGGCTCATTTTTGGCTCCACCCTTAACAAGGCTTCTGACTCCTCCAGGCTTCATGAGGTCTCTCTCCCTTGCTCCTCTGCCCTTATCACAGTCTATGGCTCCTTCTCTCATTAGCCTATGAACTCAAAGACATACCTATACTGAAGGTTTTCACATTGGATCCTAGTTTTTTTTCATGGTTATAACATCACTCCATCCCCCTGTACATACTATTTCCTCCAAGTGGCTTTTTCTGCTTTTCTGTCTTGTCCTGTCTTACTAGGGGTTTTCTTCACATGCTTAGTAGCCTTGGCTAAGTTTCAGTGTTTTAAAACACTAAAACACTCAGTGGAAGCTCTGTGTATGAGCTTTTTCACTTTCTTAGAATGAATTTACTAGGTTATTTCCTGAGGAAAAAAAGTCTTTTCTTTCCAAAGTCTTTTCTTTTCCAATGTCTTTTCTCTTGACTAGTCAGATACCACAGAGAAGGTGCCTCCATTCTCTTTGGCTGCCAGTTTAGAAGCCAGGTTGGGGAAGAAGGCTAGGTAGGGTGCGGTCTCACTATTCAGTTTGTGAACTTTCTCTTAATCCCTGTTTTCAGTAATGGCTGCTCCTACCTACCCCCGCAAAGTGCCTGGTGTCTCCCAGTCCAGAAACTCTCTGGCTGATTCCTTCCTAAGAATAAATCTTGGGAAAGAGTAACCATTTAATCGTCTGCCAAGATAGAAGTTTGGTCACCTGGCTGCTTGGGGAACAGGGGGATGGAAGGTGGGACAGGATTGCTTCTTAAAGAGACTTCTAAGTAATCCTCTTGTTCTTAGGTCCCCCTTCACCCCTGTTTCCAGAGGGTCCTGGAACTGCCAGCTCTTGAGATTTGAGGAGAGGCCATGGTCAATGCCAGCTGCTTTGGAGCTGGCAGGTGAGTTAGCCCTTGGCCATCCACTTCGTGGCAATCACTTTCTGTCCTGTTCTCTTTGGTTTTGATTTTTAAAAAAAAAAACCCTTTACAGACCTTTCAGAGGGAACAGACAAGCCCCATCTTTCGCAGGTATGCTCTTGAGTACACCTCCCAACAATCCTATGACTTAAGTGTTATTATTTGTATTTCATAAGACAAAAAGAGGCTCAGAGAATCTAAGTTACTTGCCAAGGTCACCCAGCCAGTACATTATGGAATTATAATTTGAACCATCTTTTGAGATCCATTATTGACATATTAGAAATAGGAAGATTATGGCCTGGAAAGCTTAAGTATTTACCAATTGTAAGATTATAAGCCAAGCAAGTTTCAGTACACAAATTTGAACCCGCAACTATCTGACTTCAAAGCCTGTTCTCACTAGTCTAACTTACTGCCCCATCTTTAAAGCCAGCCCAACCCAACTGCCCTATCGGGGCTCAAGAATATACTCTCAGGGGTCCAAGAGTTGTCTTTGTGAATGTATGTTTTGTGTTTTCATTTTTCCATATTTTTCTTAAAACCAGTATACTGAGGTTAATTTGGGTGACACCTTTATAATCCAGCACCGCCCTGGGATTGCAGGGTCTGCATTTCCATTTCTGTTTGTGATTGTTATCACAGGCTAACGAACCCAGAACAGTCTGCCTTAGTACCCTAGAAACAGTATTTTCACGCCAAGTGAAGCCAGCCAAATGAAGTCAGGGTGTAATGTAAGAACAAAGGCTTTGCCGTCATTTGAAGAGAAAAGCGGCAGAAGAGAATCAGGTCATCCCACAGCAAGTGAATCTAGTTCGCCTAAACTCAAAAACTGGGCCATGAACAGTCAAGACTTTCAGTTGTAACAATTTCATTTCAGCAAAACACCAAGGAACATATTAATGTTCACTTGACTGTTGTTGGAATGGTAATTTTCTTTTAATTCACTTTGTTTTTGTTTTTAATATCTGAATAAGAATTACGACCTAGGAGTTTACGCCTAGTATCATGTGAATATATATTGTAGTAACGTAACAATAAAAATAATTAAGGGATCAGGGAGATTCCTGCTTGGTTTTTGGTTTTGTTTTTTCCCTTTACAGGGCCTGTTTGAAAACTCAGGCTAACCTGAATGCTGGCCAAATGGATGACAACCACTTCCTTTAATACTATTTTAGAGCAAAGTTAGTACACGGGGATCTAATCGTCTGGGGCAACTTCTGTGTCTTTGTTTCTTCTAATGTTTCCCATCACCATCCCACCTCTCAATCTTTTTAATCATGGGTTTTTCCAGATCATGTCTTTTTGGTGAGAAAACTGAGGCTCAGAGAAATTTAATTTGCTCAAGAAGGCTGGGATGCACACTTGAGCAGCTGGACAACAGAGTCTTGTGCATTTAGTCTCTAGGATGGCTTCCTTTTAACGAATATCGCAACACTCAGGGCTCAAAGCGCTCGCTGAACTCATTGATTGTCTCTGCGGTTTTGAGAGGCCTCTTCCCGCTCTGGGTCTCAGTTTCTCAGAGCGCCCAGGCCTCTTGCAGCTCTGAAACCGGTGAGACGAGAAGCGAGAGGGAGTGTGGTGACTGGTCCTCTCCTAGGTTCTTACCATTTGATGATGTTGTGAACCAAAGGTAAAAAGGAGTAATTCTCTTCCTCCCTCACGCGGGCTGGTGACGGAGGCCGCGGCGCCGGCGACTGTTGCAGTTGAGGCGCAGCGACCGGCGGCGGCGGCTGAGGAGGCGGCAGCGGCTTGGTGTCAGGCAGCGGCGGCTCGGACGACGGCGGTAAAGTATCTTCGGCCTGTCGCCCGGCAGCAACACCGGCGGAGGCCATGGCGCCCGGGCTCTGTCAGCGAGTCAAGTCAACCGGACCCCAGGGGTTGGCCGACCGAAAGCGTCGCAGACTCCATACGTCACCATAGCGCGTCCCACGAGGGGTGGGGCCCGGATGAAGGCTCTGAGCGTGCGCACGGGGCATGGGGCGGGGCAAAGACGCGGGGGCGGAGAAGACTGTTGCTAAGTAACGTGGGGAGATTTGGGGTGGCTTGGATTTGGTTGTGAGTCAAGATAGCTAAATTATTAAATAGTAATAAATAACAGATTTATTTCAAAAATGTCTTCTTATTCCTATTCACATGACGAAGAGGGCCCCAAAGCAACTAACACGGGAGTCTTAGCTCAGACTTCTAAAGTCTCGCCAAGAACCAAGTAGAATTGCGGGAAGAGTAGACAGCATTTACCGCGCACCTATGTGCTTAAGGCCTGGGCTCTCTGGGTGCTGAGAACCCAGAGACAAAGGTGCCTGTGCCACACAAGCTTCCAGGAGGAGAGGCAGCAGACCCGAGCCAGCCCATAGTGTGAGACCTCGTGCTAAGCCCTAAGGACGCAGAGGCAAAGAAATTGCTGTCCCTCCAAGTTCCACGTGGCTGCAGAGGGAGGAGTTAATAATTCCACTCAACAAACATTTAGTATGCACCTTCTGGATGGCAGATGCTCCGCTAAATGTGTGTGTGTGTGGTTGGTGGGGAAGCTGTTCTCACTTTCAATACAATGCAGAGGGGATTTGTGCCAGGAGTACGAATATCATATCCTAGAAGAAGGCCAACATCAGGTACTCACCATACCTTTGGGCTAATTCCTTAAACCCCTAGGTCCCAGTTTCCTCACCTCTAAAATCTGATTTAGTTCAGGGTCATGGCAGAGCCTAAACTGTGTTCTAACTTCACATACATGGCTGACCCTGAAAAGTCTCATTTCATGGTGACCCCCCCCCAAGATCTTAGGCCAAAAGAGGGAGACTTCTTATGGGTTTGTGGTTATGCTTCTCAAAACAAGTATGATGTGGGGCTGTGTAATAAATTGCTGGCAGTGGGGACACCTGTCCTAAGCCTCCCTAGTGGGTAGAAGACATGAGCTAGGAAAATTGCCAGTTGGCAGAGCCTATTCTTCCTTAGTCCACCACTGAGAGCAGTACAGAGAAGAAAGTCCACATTCAGGTAGCAAGATGAACAGGAGCGCTTAGGGCAAGGTGATCCAAAGGAAAGCCTCAATGCTGAGATTTTCAGGTGCATTGGGAGAGGTGTGTAGAGGCAGATCGTTGGGGAGTAGGGTGTTAGAGGAAAGTGAATGTTGGAGCTGTGCTGTAGTGATGGGCCTCAGCACAGCTCTCTACAGCAAGAACTGCCCAGAGTGCCCAGATGGAGAGCAAAGGGAGGGAGGGGATTGCAGCATTTTCTTCCTTCAAACCACAGGCCTCTCCACCTAAAGGAAGAGTTCAAGAGTCCTGGTAGAGAATGGAGGAGAAGACCCATTGGAATAGGGCCAGAGATGCTTGAAGAGACTGTATGTATGCCCTTGGAGTCATCTGGAGAAAGAATGATGCTATTATAGTAATAATTGTAGTGGTTACCACACTCCCATGGAATAAGAGTAGAGACGAAACAGAGTTACAGTCGCTATCTCATTTAATCCGCAAAAGAACTCTAGAAAGTGGGTGTTAGGATTCCCATCTTATAGATGAGGACACTGAGGCCTACAACAGTTAAGATACTGGACCCAGGATCACACATTTTGCCTGACACCAAGCCGATGGTTTTAACCAACACTAAGGAGACCTCAAGTCCCTGCAAGTTCTGTAACTTTATGATTCAAGATGTTAAAGTGGGTTTTTGTTCAGAATTTGAAAAGCAATCCAGTATTCATCAATAATATCCGCATGGCAATCACACGTAATCTTTTCCCTCCTAGTGTGTTTTATAACTTAATTACAATCACCAACTTTATCATTGGCAGAATAAAGAGGACATCTCTTAAAAAAACCACTTCAGGTATAAATAGACATGGTTAAAGAAAACAGATTGAAATACAGGAAGCATTAACGAGTATAGTGCATCGACAGTGTGCCCTAAAAATAGCTAATACAATTAGTGTAAAGAGTAAAGCTGACTTCACCAACTTCAGCATTGCAAGCGGATGTCAGAAAAATACTGCCTGTGCTGGTTTCATTAGAGCTGAAATTGCCACAACAAATGTGTGTCTGTTTATAACCACACTGTTAAAAGTCAAAAATGGCAGACACTCCACTGACAGTAAGGACAATGTATTGTTAGAGACTTCACCAAGTTAAACTATATGGTCATTGCTTTCTTAGGTAGATTTACACTATTTCCCATAGGGCCTTGTCTAGTCCACTTAGTGGTTTCAAAGTCAGGCTTTGGAGCCAGCTTGCCTGACTTCAGTCCCAGCTCAGGCTCTCTGAAGTAGCATGACTTCAGCCAAGTGCTTGACCTCATTTTATGTGGCCATGCAACCTCACAGGAGGACTGAATGGCTATTACATGTAAAGCACTCAGTAAGTATCTGCGCTTAGTAAATATTAATTCTTCTTATTTTTCAGATTTAGGGCTCCCTCCTTCACCAATTAACAAAACCCAGGCTGACAGCAGTTCAGAGGAATGAGCTACCTCAGGGCCCTATAGGGGGAATATCGTGTGAGCCACACATCTGAGCCACACATGGCCTTTCAGTTTTCTAGTAGCTACGTTAAAGAAATTGGAAACAGGTGAAGTTAATTTTAATAATGCATTTTATTTAGCCCAATATATCCAAAATATCATAATTTCAACATGTAATCAATATTAAAAATTATTAACTGTTAGGTATTTTCCTGTTTTTCATACTGGCTTTGAAATCCAAGTGTGTGTTATACGCTTACAGCACATCTCAATTAGAATTAGCCACATTTCAAGTGCCCAGGAGCCAGCTGTGGCCGGCAGCTCCAGCACTGGATGGTGCAGAGAGATGGATACATGTCAACACAGATGGAGCTCGCAGTTGTCCTGGTGGAAAGGGAGAAAGAACAAGTTGCGCAAAGGATTGAGAGCGTAATACTGCTTATGTAAATGTCGAAACATTAAAAATAACACTTTGTATTGTCCATAGGCATAAGACATATATATAAGAGTATTTGAAGAAGGAACTAGAGGGTACACCTCACATGCATGGGATGGGGGCTGGAACAGGGATTGGGAATGTAATAGGCACAGCAACTTTCTGTGTAGTGTTTTCTTTCTTTCATGTGTTATAAGAGAACTAGAAGCAAATAGGAAAAATATGAACAATTGGCAAATATGGGGGTGGATACGTGGGGGTTTGGTGTATAGAATCCAGTCTCTGCTCCTCTCTGGCTATCTGACCTTGGGCAAGTCACTTAACCTTCCTGAACCTGTCTCCCCATCTGCAAAATGGAATCATATAGTCCCTACCTCACAGGGCTGCTGTAAAGTTTCCAGGAGTCAATGTACATCAAAGGCTCCAAACAGTGCCTGGCACATAGGAAGCACTATTTACGCTTTAGCTGTTACTGCTACTTTCTAAAAATTAAAGAAAAAACCCACCAAAATGATTCCTTATGAAACCACTGTTAATATAAGAACACGTACAAAAACAAGACTGCATCCAGAATTGAACTTTCAGGTGCTCAATGTAGACCTGCACCCCAAATACCTGTAAATGTTCTTGTGATATATTTCTGCTACGTGAAGTCCAAAAATAGTCCCTTCTCTGTCAGACAAACATCATGGGTCTTGTGAAAATGATCATGTCATTGTGTGATTAGGGGCTTTTTCATCAAAGCTGCATTCTTACATATGATTCATCCTTTTCATAACCTGGAGCCTCAGACAGGCAGAAAAGCAACACAATACTTTGATTTTTGTGAGTTTAAAAAAACAGGCAGCAATTATTGTTCAGGCCAAACGTAGTGCAATGTATACCAGGAATCAGCTCACTCAAGCCACGATTCATTGCTTACACCGCAGACAAAAGCCCCATGGTCGGTTCCACCCTGCGGGTTGCCTTTCTTCACTCTCAGAACTCCGTTTGATTTTTTCTTTTTATTCCTTCCAACCATCCTCTTCTTACTGTAAGATACTCTATTATTGTCCAATTTCTCAACTCATTTCTGTTAGTGCTTTCACTTATCAGAAGCACTCATTTTGGGGCATTTCAAGCATACAAATCTGACTATATTTCTTTCAGAATCAGAGAATTTTCTCCTTTAGTTTCCGTTCCTTCTTTTTGTGATTTTCCACCAGATCTCCACCAGCTGCCCTAGAATTACCAAACAGCTTTTGATAGAATATCAATGAGAGGCAATCCACTCCAGGAAATAGTTTTTGTCTAAAATGGTTATTATTTTGACATGCTATTCTTTCTGATCTCTTTACTAATTTTCATTCAAACTATTTGTTAGCCAAGTTTTTTTTTCTGTCTACCAGCTGCTCCCCAAAAGCCTCAACTTTAATCCCTCCTGTTAAGCTGTTTAAAAACACCCTTCTTCTCCTGGTCATCTTTCTATTTCTCACTCTTCGCTTCTCCCCTTTTCTAGAAGTTACTTTGTTTCACCTTGTTGGATTAATTGTATATCTTTTGAGTGTTGACTATTAACTTCAGTTTCAAAATCATAGTTAAAAATCATTATGAAACTGGAATGCCGAGGAGCATCGTGTGGCTTAGAGGAGAGCCCCAAGGCTGGGCTTCCTACCCTCTTGGGACAGGAGGAGAGAACCTGTAACCACAGACCTTCAAATATCCAAAGCTGTGGAAAGCAACAAGTTCCAAGCTGAAAAATGTCAGTAGCACCTAGACTGTCCCCTAGCCCCCCACCTTCTCTATAATGTGTCTTTGAAAATGCGGTTCTGTGAGCTATGAACATTTCCTCTCAATTCTCGGACCTCTCCCCACCAGCTCCACCCCCAACCCCAAGCAAGGGTAACTCTGTCTGTTTACCAGTGGACTGAGAGGGGACGTGTCGCAGCTCTCCCCATATGCTACTACCATGTCTTCTCTTGGTGGGCTGGC